AAGTTATGGCCTTTGACTTAAAGTCACTTTTTGTTGACTTTTGAAAATGACCTATAATGTTGAAATTGATAACTTTTTGTGAGAGCATTTCTTGGACTTGGAACATGAAGATGAATTGTAGGAAATGTCTTTCTCTTCAAAATGAGCTTTGGATGGAATTTTTCTGACAATCCATGTGAAAGTTATGCCCTGGTCAATTTCTGTTGACTTTTTCAGCTGTCCAAATATAGCAACTTTTGTATCTTTGATGATTTCTGAGCCAAATTTTGAGAATCATGATCAAGCATTGATCAAATGATGTTTGTGGCTTCAAAATGATATATTGACCAAAAATTTGAACTTTTGACTGCCAAATGACCATTTTGCCCCTACAGTTGACTGTAGTGCAATCTAGGGTTTTGACTGTGCAATCTTGAGCTGAATGCCTTGAAACTTGACATGAGGATACTTGACCATCTTTGTAGGCATATGAGACTTGATTGGGCCTTTGGAAAGTTCATTTGCTTGACCAGAACTCAAACCCTAGTTTTGACTGTCTAGGAGACAGTTGAGCTGCACAACCCTTGGGGCATTTTGTGACCTTGACTTTGACAATTCTTGATGAATATGGGAGGGCAAATTTTGGGGTACAACAGTTGCCCCTGTTCAATCTTCTTAGACCTGAGGATGCAGATTGGCTGACGTGCCTTTCATAATCCGAGGGTAGAAGATGATTGAACACTAAAGTGCCCAGAAATTTGCGCTCACATAGTAGCAATGATGATGAGGGAATGGGCTTGTAGATGCCATTTGGATGTTGTTTGAATAGGATGATGGGCTTATAGATGCCATCTGGACGTTGGTTGCGTAGGAGATTCTTTAGCGAGAACCTGCATACCTGCAAAACAGAAAAATGAGTACCTGACACGTCGCAGGAGCTGATTTTAGATGCTTGATATAGATATGTCCTGACTGGTTACAGGAACTGTGTCTGGAGCTTCAAACGCTGATGAATGAACCAGGGATGGTTACTGCCTTAACCTGAATAATAAGTGAACCTTGGATGATTTTAACTTCAACAACGCTCGTTGAGAAAATCTTGGTGAGAATTACCATCTTCGTAGTGTCAGGAAGAGAACCAAAGGACATTACAATCTCAAAGGGAGTTACCTCACTCACGTTGGAGAGGGAACTATAGGAAATTATAATCCGAAAGGAGATATCACCTCACGCTCATGCCGGAGAGGGAAACATCTGAAGAAGGAATTACCACCTCACACGCCGTTGGAGAGGGGACCATAAGAGAATATCACCTCACGCTCATGCCGGAGAGGAGAACATCTGAAAAAGGAATTACCACCTCACGCTCATCGTCGGAGAGGGGACCACAAAAGACTATCACCTCACGCTCATCGTCGGAGAGGAAAACATCTCGAAAAAGGAATTACCACCTCACGCTCACCGTCGGAGAGGGGACACTACAAGAAAATTAGTGTTTAACGACACAAAAATTGCGACAGTTATGTGATAACTGTCGTAATTGACATATAGAGACAGTGTTTACGACGGTAAAACAACCGTCGGCCCCCATTTAACACTTTTAACATTGATTTTTCACCAACAACTAGTCACGACGGTAAAATTAACCGTCCTAAAAGGCATATCACGACGGTAAAGCACCCGTCGCACCTTTAAACCTTTCACGACGGTAAAATTATCCGTCCTAAAATTCATTTCACGACGGTAAAACAACCGTCGCACCCAAAACCTTTAAAAATTCTCATGGGCACGACGGTAAAACACCCGTCGCCGTAAAAAAGTTAAAAAGCTCTTAAAAAGCTCTTATTCATTTCATTATTCTTGTTACAATTTTATTTTTACAGTGAACCCTTCATGTCTCTCCCGCGCAGCCTCTCACCCCCCAACCTTCAAACCCAGTTCTCCCTCAATCAAAACCCAACCACCAAAAACAAACAAAAAGCTAAAGATCTTACCCCTTTCGCGATTGCTTTATGACTTTCTGTCCGATTTGTTCTGATCTTCTTTCTCTCTTGATCCCAATACCAAATCATCGAGTTTGGAGCAAAACCCAAACTCCTCAATTCCAATCGAGTTTGGAGCAAAACCCATAGCGCCATCTCATCTCTTGCCAAATTGCACAACTCATCTGATCCTAATGAGCGAGAAGTTTGTGAAATTCTCAAGGGTTTGGGAGACAATGTTAAAGAAGTTGATGCGGAGCATGTTCTGCATAACATAACAAACCCTGAAATTGCGATTCTTGCTGTTAAATACTTCCAGAAGAAGATTGAACCGGAGAGACATGTTGTTCTTTACAATGTGTTGTTTAAGCTTTTTAGAGAAATTAATGATTTTGAAAAAGCAGAGAAGGTGTTTGAGGAAATGCTGCAGAGAGGAGTCAAGCCTGATGTTGTTACGTTTTCGACTTTGATTAGGTGTGCTTCTGTTTGTTCTCTGCCTCACAAATCCGTGGAGTTGTTTGAGAGGATGCCTTCTTTTGGGTGTGAGCCGGATCATAATGTGTCGTCGTCGATGATTTATGTTTATGCTCGCACAGGTAATGTTGATATGGCTTTGAAATTGTATGATGATGCGAAAAATGAGAAGTGGCCTGTTAGGGCAGTTGCATTCTCTGCTTTGATTAAGATGTATGGTGTGTTGGGAAACTATGATGGGTGTTTATAATGGCTTTGAGTGTTTATAATGATTTATGCAGCAAGTGTTTATAATGGCTTTGAGTGTTTATAATGGCTTTGAGTGTTTATAATGATTTATGCAGCAAGTGACTTGCTGTTACGATTTACTGACATTCAGTTTTTGTCGTTTTGATTTTCATAAAAGTTAAAAAAAAATATATTAATGGTTTTCTTTCATTGAAACAGGGATTACTTGCAATACAACTTACAGCTGTATTCAAGAATCTGCATCCACCATCCTGTGCAAAGGAAAGTAGCACATGCATTGGACCAACAGCGGGACAAATGACGTTTCTATTTTCTGGGTTTTGCTTACTCTTGATAGGTGCTGCAGGGATTCGACCGTGTAATTTAGCATTCGGTGTTGATCAATTCAATCCAAAAACAGAATCAGGAAAGAAAGGAATCAACAGTTTCTTCAATTGGTATTATTTCACCTTCACTTTTGCTCAGATGATTTCTTTGTCATTGATTGTGTATGTACAATCAAGTGTGAGCTGGGCAATTGGTCTTGGAATTCCTGCTGCATTGATGTTGTTAGCTTGTGTGTTATTTTTCATGGGTGATAAATTGTATGTTAAAGTAAAACCAAGTGGCAGTCCCATCAAAAGTATTGTACAAGTTTTAGTGGTTGCAGTCAAGAAAAGGAGAGTTAAACTACCTGCTCAGCATCCAATGCTTTCCCTCTTTGATTATGTGCCATCCAAGTGCGATTATCCAAAGCTTCCTCACACATATCAATTCAGGTAAATGCATCAATCTAATTTAAATTTATTTCCTAACATTGAAATTCAACATGATGATGGCTCTTAATCCTGCTGGTTGATTATGACGGTAATCATCTTTTCCTCACTTTTCAAATTTTTATTTATTTATTTATTGAGTTTGGTTTATTGGCTAAAGTAAGGCTAGAAGATGGTTTATTTCTGTCAAATACTTCAATAGTCAGTTAGTTTTCCTGGATGGAAATTTCTATCTTACCTGCATGGTTAATGTTCCTGGATTATTATCCTCTTCCCCATGGATAAGCAAGATAGGCTTCTTAATTTTATTAGCGGACATGAAGGGACTCATCTCGACATAGGTATTAGTGGCCTCCCAAAGAGTTCTATCTTCATTCTACAGAAGAAAGTATTGTATAAGATGTAAGATATTCATTTCTAAAGACAACTCATGGAAAATACTATGCAATTGGAATAATAAAAATCGAGGCATTATATAGGTAGTACCTGAAAACCAAAAGGTGTAAGCGTTCTATTGTAAGCACCAGAACGAGCAATTCCACAACAAAAGAGATGAGGGGCGTGTGCTAGGAGGTTGGCAGTCATGAATGCACCATAGGAATGTCCACCAACAACTATTTTCTTTGGATGAGCTACCTAGAGGGGATAACCGAAAAATGCTTGATTCAAACGATATTTATATTGGATTGATAACTTAATCTACTACACAAGTAAAAACAAAAGCTTACCCCACGCCGGATAACTTCTTCCACAGCAGCCTCTGCACTTGCAACTAATTGCCCTACATAGCAGTAAGCTGAACCCCATCTTTTCTTTGATACCTGATCATCTCTTTCTGCAATGATGCAAGCTGAGGGAAATTTGTAACCTTAACTCTTTTTGCATTTGGCCAGCTAACAAAGTAATACTGGGTGTTCTCTGTTTTTGACTCTTTTGAAATCAGTATTTTCAGCTTATCTAACTGTAAATCCCCTTCTCCTTGATCCGACATTAGAAAAGTATCTAATTGTGCCCAAATATGTTGTTGGCTAAATGTGAATCAATAATTTGTATTCATACCCATAGCGGAGATCAAGCTTGTGTAATATCGAGATTGAAGGTAAAATTTTCATTCAACCTCTTCTTTTTCTTCCCTTTGCTTATCTACACAATGTCTGCATAAAAACAAACTGATTTCTAGTGAATCAACAACTAATGCTGTTTTAACAACTGAATCCATCAGCACTTATTGGTTTCTTGGTTCTTTAATACTAATCTAGCTCTAATTGCTTCTTCAACATTTAACCACAGGAACAAGTTGCTTATAATCACTACCATAATTCTAGGTAATTATTCATTCTCCTTACTTTTAAAATTTCTATTTCTAGCTTCAAATTATTTATGTTCAAAGATGTACTATATTGAGAGTTGATTGGTTCTTAGATGAAAATTACTTTTTTGTTTTATTTTACTATCTAGAATATTCCAAAATAACCTTGTCTTTCTCTAGTAGACTTTTCTCTTTCATTATACTCAGAGATTCACAAATCTGTTATGTAGTTGTAGGATACTACTCCTTTTAATGAGAACTACTAGTGGTGAAATAGTGGAGACTCTACCAAGATCCTTTCAGGTATATACATATAAATGAATAGCATTTGATTTCACTATTATGTTTATCAAAGGTGTTAGAACTTAGAACTAAGGATTCTATTAACAGGTACATAGTAAAATATGCATGGAATTGATGAGAATATTGGATGATATCATGAGGATATTTCCAGATATAGAGGATGCAAGACCAAAATGTTCATCAGGAATAGAATCTCTGGTTTATCTGAACAACTCAATTCAGAAAGCTAAACTACTTCTACAACATTGCTCTGAATGTAGCAAACTCTACCTGGTGTGTTTTCTTCTTCTCTAAAGCATATCTCAATAATAATTTTGTATAACTTTCTTAACAAGTAAGCTAAATATGACCACTACTTTCAGGCAGTGACAGGAGATACAGTACTTTTAAGATTCCAAAAAGCAAAAAAGTCATTAGAACAAAGCTTAATTCCCATTCAGAGTATGGTTCCAGTTGTGTTGGCTGTTGAGGTTAGTCAATTTTTTCTTCAAACATTGTCTAATCTGACTTTTTATAAGTCAGTGATTATTCATAAAAACTAATGACTTATTGTAGTGGAAAAAATTCTATAAACAAGTTAATCCAAACTAAGTTAATCCAAATTAATATAAAAATTACTTTAATTTTAAATATATGTAGGTTAATTATCATGAAAGTTGGTTAAATGGTTAACATCTTAAAACTTAAATTAATGAATATCTAAATAAAGAGAATAATAATTATATGGCTCAGCGTCTAGTCACATAACAAGATGGAATAAAGAGTCATGCTATCAAGTTCTAAACAAGGGAAGAACAAGATAATGAAAAGTAATAACAGTGTAACATATGTAACAAAAATAAAGTTGAGTTAAGATCATTGTAGTTATAAAAATAGAACAAGAAAATCACATAAGCTATCACTTATTCACATATTAAAAATATTGAAGTTTTGCTTGTACAGAACAAGTAACGTCACAAATTCCGTTGCAGAAGTCACTATCTCCTATAACCTGACACGCTTACAATTCTCACATGGTTCGTTCATTCTCTCTTCTTAATTGGGGTCCCATGTTGGACTTAGACACGGTTCCAACACTTTATAATTACAATCAATTTATTTATTTTTTAAAATTATTATCGAGGTGTTAGTGTCGTTTTTTTTGCTTATAATATGTTTCATAAATTAAGATATTATGATCTCATTTGATTTGTATATACTTAGATGAGCACATTTAAGTTATTGTGAAAATCTAGCTTTAGCACCAGTGATTAATTTAAGAGGGAGGCATGATGTAACATGTTTGGTAATGAAAACTTATAAGAAAACCGTTCTATAACGAGAATAATATGCACATTGAATGTTCTCCTCGCAGAGACTAGTTCATCTTTGGGCGCTTGAATCCGCGGAACGCGATGCCTTTTTGGCGAACGAAGCAACGAAAAAATGGACATCGAGCAATCAAGTTCTGGTGGAAATAGCTTGCACTAGATCTTCTGATCAATTGTTTTCTGCAAAGAAGGCTTATCATGTTCTTTATAAGAAGTCTATTGAGGAAGATGTTGCTCATCACACAACTGGAGACTACCGGAAGGTACAAATTCTCCATCATAAACTTGTTAGTTGTAAGTTGAAACAAAAATTGATTACAAATTTTGTATCAAGATAATGAATAATTTGAGCTATATGTGTGATTTAAGATTTTGTGTCACTCAAAATATCAAAGTTAGCTTATTTTTTGTTGGTATATATAGCTCCTATTGCCTCTGGTTAGTTCTCACCGCTATGAAGGAGATGAAGTGAACTTGACTATAGCAAAAGCTGAGGCAAAGATACTTCACGAAAAGATTTCGAAAAAGGCTTATAACGACGACGATCTCATTAGGATTCTGGCCACAAGGAGCAAAGCACAAGTTAATGCTACTTTGAATCACTACAAAGATGCATTTGGAAAAGATATAAACAAGGTTAGTAGAGTACTACTAGTTCTCACATTTTTCTTGTTTTACAAAAACTGATTAAGAATAACTGTATTAATCTTTTTTTGAGACACTTTGATAGGACCTGAAGGAAGATCCAAAAGACGAGTTTCTGTCATTGCTGAGATCAACTGTCAAGTGCTTGACTCGTCCTGAGAAGTACTTTGCGAAGATAGTTCGTCTGTCGATCAATAAGCACGGAACGGATGAAGGGGCTCTTACAAGAGTTGTGGCAACAAGAGCTGAAATTGACTTGAAAATTGTGGCTGATGAGTATCAAAGGAGGGACAGTGTCCCTCTTGACCGTGCCATTGTGAAGGACACAACTGGTGACTATGAGAAAATGCTTTTGGCACTTTTAGGACATAATGATGCTTGAGATACATGTTAGTATGTGTGTTTTAAACTTCAAGTAAATCCTATTTTTTGGATATATAAAAAAAGGTTACATAAATTGCTTAAGCGTGTTGTTCTGTCTAATCTTAGAAATGTTAATAAATTTGGCCGATGGATAATTGATGTACTGTTGCTGCTTTTGGCAGTGATAGAAAATAAAATAAAAATACTATAAATAAAAAAATATTAAAGTAAATAATAATTTAAATATAATAGTAAAATATTATAGTAAAATAATATTATATTTAAAATTATTTTACTAAATAATAATTTAAATAAAAATATTATTTGAAATTTATAAATCAGATTACGACGGTATATAACCGTCGCAAACAACAACAACAAAAAATAAAGTCAAATTCACGACGGTATATAACCGTCGCAAACAACAACAAAAACAAAAAATAAAGTCAAATTCACGACGGTATATAACCGTCGCAAACAACAACAAAAACAAAAAATAAAGTCAAATTCACGACGGTATATAACCGTCGCTATCTGTTGTGCGTGACAGTTTTGCAACCGTCGCGAAATAGGCTGGGGACGCACGATTCTGCGACGGTACTTCTACCGTCGTAGATTGTAAATTGCGACGGTTTTAACCGTCGTAATCAGCCAAAATAACCGTCCCAATCTATCATTTTTCTTGTAGTGGGACCACAAAAGACTATCACCTCACGCTCACCGTCGGAGAGGAAAACATCTCGAAAAAGGAATTACCACCTCACGCTCACCGTCGGAGAGGGGACCACAAAAGACTATCACCTCACGCTCACCGTCGGAGAGGAAAACATCTCGAAAAAGGAATTACCACCTCACGCTCACCGTCGGAGAGGGGACCACAAAAGACTATCACCTCACGCTCACCGTCGGAGAGGAAAACATCTCGAAAAAGGAATTACCACCTCACGCTCACCGTCGGAGAGGGGACCACAAAAGACTATCACCTCACGCTCACCGTCGGAGAGGAAAACATCTCGAAAAAGGAATTACCACCTCACGCTCACCGTCGGAGAGGGGACCACAAAAGACTATCACCTCACGCTCACCGTCGGAGAGGAAAACATCTCGAAAAAGGAATTACCACCTCACGCTCACCGTCGGAGAGGGGACCACAAAAGACTATCACCTCACGCTCACCGTCGGAGAGGAAAACATCTCGAAAAAGGAATTACCACCTCACGCTCACCGTCGGAGAGGGGACCACAAAAGAATATCACCTCACGCTCATGCCGGAGAGGAGAACATCTTGAGAAAGGAATTACCACCTCACGCGCCGTTGGAGAGGGGACCATAGGAGAATATCACTGAGTCTTTATCAGAAAAATCTGTTTGGAGTCGATTTAACTGGGCTAGAGACATCCTTGAAATATGTTTGAGAATTTCAACTGCATCTTCCCTGAAAGGTAAAGGTCAGTTATATGCAATGCATGATATGGATCAAGCAATGACGTTCTCAACATAAAATGAGATTCGTATGATATGATGCAGTGCGTTATGCATGTTATGATGATGTATGTAAAGTTTTCGTCTAGGAAAATAAATCCTTGACGGGTGCCGGGAAGTCATATCCTGGGCTGATGTTGAGGAAGAGATTTTGCTTCCGCTGTGGATGATTGTTGCAAGAATACCGGTAGGAGAAGATAACTCCGTTGAGGAATAAACTTGGCAAATGAAATAATTTCTGCGGGAGAAAAGATACTCTAGCGATCATGCTGGGGAGTGCTACTCTGTGGGGATAGCGATGCTTTGCTGGTTTGATGAAGATAACTCCGCTGGGGATACCGTTGTTGTGCTGGAAGTGTTGATAGACTTCGCTGGGGGTAGGAAGATACTTTGCCGGGGACGCTCTTTCCGTGGCTTTTGGCTGAGGATAACCCAGTTATATCCTGTTACGGAAATAACTCTTTAAATCAAGCCGGGACGACGCGTTCGTGCTCTGTGAGGGATAAGCTTCCAGAATCTACTGGGGATAAGCTTACTGCTTGGGGAGATATGAATTCCAATTTTCCTGGGGGAATTGGGTTTTCCTGGGGAAGTTTTGATATGCTGGGAAGTGATTCCTTTGAATGTTGGTATACCGCCGGGGAACAATCTTTAGACCAAGACTGCCGGGGATGCTTGTTAAGAATGCGCGCTGCTGGGGGAGGTATTGAGAATTACGGGAGGATACTCAATTTCCTTGATATTTGATGATTGCTTGGAGAGGAATGTATTGTCTTGCTGAACCACTCTCTGGGGAATTAAGATACACTTGGCCGTGTTCTTTAGCTGAACCTACCCTAGTACCTTGGAGGATAGAACAATTAGACTGCTCAGACAACTCTTTATTGCCCCTGTTTCCGGCGTCACCTGCAATGAATTCCTTTGTTTCGTATGCAAATATTTATGAGTTTAGCAAATTATTGTCAATGCATACATCACAAATTGAACCTTGGACGTTCTTCGCAAAACAAAACAGAGAAAGGAAAAATACTTGGCACATTTAACTGAAGATATATTTTTATTGATTTTGAATGGCCTGAAAATAGGCGTTTTATGTACAAGAGGCTGACGTCCTAGTAAGAGGTACGTCGCCGATCAAAAGAATTTATACAAGTTTTGTACAAATGAAAAGTAAAACAGCTGTGTGAAAGATGAATGATCCACTGGGTTTCAACTCTGCTATTGCTTTTATAACTCCGAGCGTCTCATCACTTGATGACCTTGGTTGAAGGTGAAGCTGACTGATCGATGCCGTTTGAACTTGATGTAGATACCGGATTCTGGATGCAAAGTGATCAATGAGACATAGTTTTACGCTTTATCCCTAACTTTTGCCTGGACCGCCCTTTCGGGTTTTCAGTCCACCGGGATACCCCTTTTTGCCCAAGCCGCCTTTTCAGGTTTTCGACTTGCCGGGTGTACAATTTTTCATTTTCATCCCTACATTTTGCCCGAACCCTTTTGGTTCGACGGGAAGCCCTAACTTTTGCCTAGGCATGTCAGCCTAGCGGGTCTTTTTTCATGCGTAGTATTTTTTTCGACTATGTCCATGCTCTCAGGATGTAGGGAGCTGCCCCTGTTAGAAATGTTTTGCCATGCCATCAGAAGATGTTCGATTAGGCAAGATTCGTTGTTGGGATGCCCCGAGTGACTCAGGCGGAGATTTGCCCCAGGCTGTTTGGCCTTCGAGAGATTCTCTGAATCTTGATTGGACTGCCCCAGATGATGGACCATGTTCATGTCATGCCCCTTGATTGGAGATACTCTTGTTCATTAGGCTTTCATTGTGCGAATTTCCCTGCTGTTCAAACAAAAAGTCATACGCAAACAAAGTTATATTAAAAATGCAAAGCCTATGTCTGTCTTGAAGATTTTTGAAAATGTATTCTTTTCATAAAACATGTGAATGTTTGTAAAACATGATGTCAACTCTGCATTTACCATAGCCTTAAGGAGTCAGGATACCTTCGTAACAGTATGCTTTCGAACTAACCCATGCTTCAGCTAGGACTTTTGAGGGTTATAACGTGGCCTGGTTCACGGTTTAAGAAACAAAGGATAAAGGCTCAAATTATTTGTACCCACCCGTTCTTCGTGATGTTCTCCAAATCTAAACTCAGTTGATCATGCGTTGGACCTTGGTCGAGTCTTTGCTTTGATATACCAGCGATGGTTCGGATATTGACGGTTTATTTTGATTGGGCAGCCGTTTCCTTTTCTGTTGAGGGTTTGTAGGACCTCTTTCTTTTGATTTCGTTATCCCCATTTTTTTGCCTGAACTGTTTCCTTTTTGGAATTACAGTCAGCGGGATGCCCCAGTTTCATAAGTCCCTTCTTATAGGTTTTGACTTCTTGGGCTTTTCGTTTATGATTTTTTTTTGATAATGACTGCCTGTTCTTTATTGATTATTCGGAACCATCACTGTCTTTGTTCGTTTTGTAAAGATCTCTTCGGTGCCATTCGTCATGCACTTGGATCAACTGAGAAGACTACCCTACCCCGGGTTATGATTAAGGGTTTAATTTTCGAAAATAAAACTCCTACTTCTTTGGCTCTGATGGGTTGACGAGGGATTATCATCCTTATAACTCCAGTGTTTAGGGATTGAAACAATGCCTGTACCTCATCAGCGGGGTCTGTTCAAAAGCATACTGTAAAGATCGTGGTATCGTTTTCGTCATCCTCCCTCAAGAGGCTTAGATTTTTAGATCAAGAGTTGACATCAGAAAAAATATGAAAATAATTTGCATTTAGTGAATACGAATATATTGTTTCAGAACAGACATAAGCGATGCATTAATGGAATAACAATGTTTAACATGAATAAATGTTTGAACAAAAGAAAATTGCAACTTGAACATTCGAATGAACAAAAATTTCCTAGTCTCAGGGCTTGTCACTTCAACTGATGATCCTTGGAGGAATGGTAGAAAAATTCAACCTGTCCATCTTGCGTGAACTCCACTGTCCCTTCATCGATCAGGTGCTGGATTTTGTTCCTCAGCTCCCAACATTCATTGGTGTCATGTCCTGGGCTAGCAGAGTGGTAGGCACATCTCTTATTGGGGTCATAGGCAGGAGATGCTGTGTTGGGATTCCGGGGACGAGCCTTCAATGTGATCAGATTCAACCTCAATAGGTGTTGCAAAGCTTGAAACAGCGACATGTTGAGCTGGGTGAATTGCCTCCTGGGCTTGTCTGGCTGAACTCGGTGAGGTTGGCGTTGAATTTGTGGCACTGGAGTCATTTGAGGAACTTTCCCCTTATCCTCTTGTCTCGAGGATGATTGGATGATGAATGGCTTTTTACCCTCAGATGTTTGCCCCAGTAGGTTACCCTGAAGCAGTTGGTTGAAGAGAAACCAGAGCTCCTCTTGTCTTTGAACTAGGCAGTGAATGATATTCCTCTGTCCCAGCATCTGGGCTTTCATAGCATCCATCTCGGCTTGTAGGTGTTCCAACTTTCCATCCTCAGCATTGCCCCTGGCGGAGGTCTCT